GAATGCCCTTTAAAAATGCGTAATGTTCGTTGAGTGACTTAGCCCAAATTAGCCGGCAGTACAACTGATGAGTACACAGTGTGGGATGCCGTAGGCTAATTTGGGATTAGCCATTCAATGAACAGTAGAATTTGGGGGCGTTCGCGCCCATTGGACGCAAATGGGTGGCGTTAAGGTCCAAGTTAAAAGATTTATGGAGGAACACGATTGCCTAATGAGGAATTTGAAAGCGCTATGAATGCAATTGGCTGACAAAAGGTGGAGAATCTGTACCAAAAACAAGAATGCCTTGCATATGAAACGGTGTTATAAGGAGCCAACCCCCCAAAAGATCGCAAGTTGAAAATAAGTCGCTGAGCCCCGCAGTAGATTAGTGCACATGTTAGATAAGCCTTTCCACTCGTGAAACACTTATTTCATTATCAGCCTTTTTACCTATGAAACATTCATTTTCCCGGTCCAGCCTCCGCATTTAACAAGATTTACTTTTCGACATGTTCAGTTGGCATGTTCACATAGTCCCCATTCACTTGCGTATGTCTTGCTTTCGGGGATTGGTTACGCAAACCAGACTACGTGAAAACTCACATATTTCACTATCGAGGTACATAAGCAAAGCTGGACTATGCTGTAATCGCCTTGAGTCTGACTGGTAGAAGTGTCTGTTGTGAAAGGCTTGCCTTTTGTCTTATATCTCTAGGGTTTAAGTAGTCGCGTGTGAAGTTGAGTTGGGTCAAGGTGCCCGCTCAACTTGCGCGTAGTAACCGTGGTGTGCCTAAGTCTCGCAGGTCGTACGAACTTCCTCGGTTACTTTGTCGTGCATTCCGAGGCACAATCGTTCGTCCGACTGGGAGAGTTGATACCGGATCGTCAAGAAAAAGGCGCAACCAAGATGGAGTCATAAAAAGTGGATCAAACGGAAACGAACCAGGAATACCGAGCCATTAGAAAGACCCCTTAACTCAAGTGTTCATTTGTTCCCCGAGCTTGGCGGTTTTATTGCAAACGTTTCACGCCCATGCGAGGTGGTGTCCTCAGGGGAGTGAGATGTTACCAGTATTCCGAAACACTTTAGACCCCTTGACTCATTGGATTGTAACCGCAATTGTCCAGTGACTCGGGTTATTTTTCTCGAAAAGATTATCCTAAGTTGCAAAACTCAAACCAAGTGTGTACCAGCTAAGCTGAAGCTCTTGTATCAAGAGCGAAACGAAGGCTATACAAAACCGATTTCCATTGTAAACCATTCGAAATCATGAATATTAAGCGGTTGTGTTTTTTACCCACCCATTGAGATTGTGGAGATGAAAAGCAAGCCATAGGAGAGAAATACACTTGAAAAATATACCAGTGGGTATTGATCCTTAGCGACTGGCGCTAACTCCATCACATGCTTTCCAGACAGGATGCCATGGTCTAAGTAGATAGATGATGTCAAAAAGCAGTTCGATAATAAAAGGCATTGAAATGACAAAGTAGGGATTCCATTGCACCCGATCATGAATACTTCACTTTACCACAACGTCACCTGGTGGTTAACGGAACCCTTGGAACCTGATCGTAGCTTGCTGTCAAATTATTGCTTAAAAGATTCCTTTGAGTCTGTTGAGCTGCTTGAGCGATCGACGCTAGACGCCGAGCATATGTATTCGATGTGGATTCATTGTTCATCAACATGTCATTGTGTGAGACAGTGGACGATTTATGCCGCCTCTTGCGAAGCCAAAACGTCCATAGGCCTCCCCTTGAAGTGTCTGGGTGATTTGATGCTGTTATGCACACATAATGTATTGTTTGAGTTTGAAAGGGCAGCGTACAAACAAAATGATGGTGTGGCAATAAGCATCCTGTTAGGACCAGTTTTAGCAGATATTTTCTTGGGACAGATTGAAATAAAAATAGCTAGTAGTCAGTCAGTCAGTCACGTACAAACTGTACGTGGATGACATACTAGTGGCGAGCATTTGGAGCAAATTATTGCGTTCTTAAATTCCGCACACCCCAATCTCTCTGTGACACACGAGATTGAACAGTAAGATAGGCTGCTGTTTTTGGACTTGCTAATTAGGAGGCGGGCGGATGGCACACTTTAGCGCACTGTCTTTCGAAAAGCGACTTGGAGTGGGCAGTGCCTGTATTCCTCTCGATTCGCTCCAGTTGCGTACAAACACAACCATGTCAAAATCCTCTTCTACAGAGCCAGACAAATTCGCAATACAGACACGCTTAAGGTCGAAGAGGAGTTTGCACATAAGACTCTATTGTTGAATGGGCAACCGGATAGTCATTCAGCTTCATAACCGACCGCCCAAGGAGAAACTAATGGTTCAGCCTGCAGAGAAGAAAGATTTCTACTTGGTTTTACCAGATAAAAAAGATCATCTAGCCAATGATATCAGGTCTGAGCTCTCGCGTACCTACACCACCGCCCAGTTGGGACTGCTTCACAGCACGCGAAGAATGGATCTCAACGACCACCTGGAAGGCCTGCCAGGCAGTGAAGCCTCACATCTGGTCTACCAGTTCACCTGCAGTCGCGATGACGTTTATAAAGACAGGACTGACCGTAGACTGACCCCAATGATGGCTGACCACCTCCCAAAGTGGATACGGCAAGCGTTGACGCAACAAACTGGTGCGGATCAGCTGAAGAATCGCAGACCTGATTGTCCATCGCAAGGCATCGCGTACTGACCCGTCACGTGGATCGATCGACTGCGTTCAAAGGACTATTGAGCGACCGGAACCCAAAAAGACTGGCTATCACCGAGGCTTTACTTATCTCGAAGTATCGCCCGATGTTGTGCGCACAGAAGCAACTAAAACGATCTGTTAGATTGGCTTGGTTTTGAATGACATTTGGTTCCGCTTCGGACTCCACGTGTTCACTTCTGTTTGATTCCTAATTGTATTGCGTTCGCGACAGAGGAGAGCAATTGAAATATTAACATTTCGTGACAAGTCTTTTTCTGCGCTAAGGGAATGGCAATACATAAGGATGACAAAAGTAGAGGCGATACCAAAGCGAATGAAAGACCAGTTCGATTAGTCCCTTGAGTTGCAACGTAATCCACACATAAAAGAAGTTGCACAAAAACAACTGATGAAATCGACTAGGTTGTCTTGAATGCATAATATGCGCCGATCATCACATAAAGGCCTATCTGTAGGTATTACTAGACGTCTCACATGAAAGGATTGCACGGAGTGGCAAAAAAGGTGAGATCATCAGAAACACTATCGACACGATTAGCACAATGATGTAGTTTAACCATGGATCAATCCATCGCCACTTCTGAGCCAGCGCCGGCTATTGTAAGCAGTTCACGGCGCCACATCCTGAGTGAACGCAATTCGTGCGCATTCGTGCAACAGTGACAAGCGCGACACCGTCATCATCATCAATACACGTGCGCTAAAGGTGAAAAACACCTCAGCTATTGTGTTTGACACCGTAACTACCTCGGTGGAGTGACGCTTGCGATAGGTGCGTGGATTAACGCAACTTTCAACATGTCATTTGGCGGTTTAAGAACTAAACTATGTGACATAAACAAGCGCAAACAATGCTGTTACTCAGTGCGGATAAACTGATTCAGGTCAAAGAGCCAAAAACACCCTGAGATCCACGAACCGGCGGGATAAAATTGCACTACCAGATACCATAAGAAACAATAGAGCAGACAAATAGAAATTGAATGTTGCTCGCCCGAAAGCACTGCAGGAGCACTACAATAAGATTGTGTGTCGCAATCCAAACACACAACATGTACCCCAAAATGGCCCTCCAATCAGAGCAGACAGTTCTTTATTCCTGGTACACTGCACACAACATAGGCGCATCGTATAGAAGAAGTGTTCATGGTGACTGTGGCACGTCACATACAGTGCAGAACCATTGATGTAATCAAACGGCTTGACGCCCCAACCTGGCCCAAGCTTTATGCTTTCTTGGTGTTAGCGACTGGGCACGACGCAATCACACCTAGCCAGGTGGGGTTGGTGGACAATACAGGTCAAGGTAGCCGGTTTTGGAGACCTGTGAACGACACGATCTGGCCAGTAGCGCAAGCTCGAGTGTAGCCCGTGTTTGTTCTCGAAGCGCCAAGTGACGCTGCTGTGTACCAGATACAAACCGTACTTCGCAAGCAATTCAGTTCCTCGCCGATTGAGCAGTGATGGTAAGAACTTAAAGTTCAGTGGCGAAACGTTGCCTACCATTTCGAAGGTGCGAGGAACTCGTTGAGGTACATACTGCAAGCAACATTCGTGAGGCAACTATGTAGGTGCATAGAAATATGCACCGCCAAAACAATCCGTGTCTATCATTCAGTTCTACATGCCAGGGTGATAACTAGCAGGAGGAAGATCCGCGTTAACGCATGAGCAATACGCCGGGACGCAGTACCGACGTTTCATTGCCGCGTAACGCCCATCATTCGCTGGTTGGCTAAGGATACTGCGAGGGTTGCCCGGTCCCCTACGCAACCTCGAAACTGCGAACCCGAATTACAGTCAGGCTTGTGATCCTTAAGGCTAAATAACATGCTAGTAAAAAAATGTTGCTAAGAGTCACATCTGAACAACCTTTTCGGCGCATTGCCCGTAACTTTGGACAAAATGTTTAAGAGAGGAGAAACCCACTTACGCTGAGCCGCTAGTGGACAGGAGCGTAGAAATTTAGTAGATAAGGCATGAGACTTCATCGGTGGATTAGGACATGACATTGCCGGCTAAAAACATTGTGATAGGTGGCAGATAGGATATCTGGAAGTGCACGTGCCGAAAACCACAGAGTGTACATAAAGTACTCCTCGTCCTGTGGCTACTCACATTGGTCTCATGTATGGGGCTTAATAATGAAGCGAACAAACAGTGGTCCCCATGTATCTCAAAACTCGATACAATACACGTCTGGCATCACAGAACTTAGAAAAATACAAGATCTGACTGAAACATGATATGAGAATATCAAACAGATCAGATCAACCAAGGGGTTAAAGAGAGTAAACAGAATCAGGTAACACGGGTTTTCAGGCGAAAACGCAGAAGCAGCAGCGCCGAACAAGGAGGGATAGTGTAGTCTGCGAGATACGAAGGTGCACATCTGTAAAGAGAATGATAGCAAACATTTACCGTAATTGGTAGCAGAGGACTGTATCCGTCGTACAAGGTGGTGCACTTCGAGCAGATCTGCGGTGATGAGAAATGATGGCAAATAAATGAGCGGAACCGCAAGAAACGGCCAAGGGAGCAAATCATCCAGAAGAGGGAGACGAATCACAAATAAAATGATTACAGCATAATCCTGAGTCTAGTCAATAGATGATTAGGATTATCGCTTATTAGTCTTTGTCGGTAGAATCCGACACGTAATCTCGAGTCGGACTGCGGTTTGTCTTGTGGTTAAGCTCGGTGTAGGTGAGCATTGGAATCGAAACTGAAACAGATAAGCGTTAGGTCCCACTTGGTTTCGAAACAGTGCCGCACTGCCAGTATCATATTTCTTTGAGTTTTTCTGATGGAGGTTGTCAGGTAAGGAATCAAAAACCAGACGTGTTGAGTGTGAGTGGCGTCTAACATGTCTCTAGTTCAGATATGGTCCCAGTGGTCGAAAAACAGGGAATTATCTCTAAGTAAATCGTGATAATAACAGACATTGTGTAACATAATTCAGTTACATAATGGGTACCTTAGAACACACGGTAATGTCAAACTTGACAAAACGTCCTTAAGGGTTCACATGAATTCGACTTCTTAATATCTCACAACAGACAGGACTATCCTTAAAACTATATGCAGACCTAAATCAAATACCATACTTATAAGCAAACTGTGATGTCATTAGTTATCAAGCCTATAAACAACTTCGCCATTCGCTTCGTTCCTACCTGTTGGAATCACAAGTTAGTGATCAGAAAAAAAATGAAATGGTAGCTTACCCAAACAGAAGTCACGAGCCTCAGCCGTTCCAATGAATTCTTCCAGATCTGCCGCTGAGGTAAGAGACGTCAGTGCATCAAGTGATTGGACAAAAACGTCAGAACACTGCCGCAAACAGCGCATCCATTCGTATTTCACGGTATCCCTCGGGCTTTCGTAAGACTGATAGGATGCGAATATAGTGAAATGCTAAGTTAGAAACACGGCTGATTGGACAAATGGATGTGCGAAAGAAAAGCGAAGAGGACCTAATCCAGTCATACAGACATGACGCTGAGTATGATTCAAGCATCAGATCAATAGAACAGCTTGGATGCACAATCCCACAATGTTAACTAGTTGCCGGAGAGAACTGCAGTTTCTTTGACGGTTAGATGTAGATAAAAAGTGAACTGAGCACCATATTGCCTGTGAAGTGGACCAAACTCTCCAACCATACTACACCATAACAAGTATTAATAGCATAGTATAAACAAGAATAAGATGAAAGATATGGATGACAGAGACCGGAAAATCGCTAGAAATTAGTGCAATGAAGTGAAGACAAGTGAAACATTGAGATGAGGCTGACACAACGCCGACACAAAAATCCCAAAACCTATCAGCAGTGGGTCAGTCTACGATGTAGTCAAGTGTAGACGACTGTATACATTTTCGTCGACGGTATCGAGTGCACTAAGCTAGTACCGAGGTCGCACTACCAGCATTGGAGAACAAAGTAATGTGATTTCCACATATGGGGTGACACAAGCCGAACGGAATCAGGCCAAACAATTAGGATTCACGGAATATCGATGGGCGAAACAAAAAACCAACCGCAAATCGCATTAGTAACGCTATAAATAACGTTTTATAGCTAAGTGATTTTAGACCGTATCCATAACTTTTGCTGGGAGCTAGTCAATAAATAAGACAGTGCCAATGACTTATTGGCCGATACATCAAATCTGATCTATAACCACATAGGCAGTAAGTTCCTAGACTGCATCTAGGAAGCCGATTCGGAGAGGAAAGCTGCCAACAGTGTTGTAGGGAGAAAGAATGTCTTACGTATCTTGTGCCAGGTATCCTGATTCAGCTTGGGAGGTAAAAGCCTGACCAACAAGATAACAAGTAGGTCTGTGTGGGGCCTAATCGCAGCGCTTCAGTGAAGCCTATGATAACAAAGTAGGAAGGCGAAGTGTTCTCAAAGTCATTTTCTGAAATTCGTTTCATGAGAGCAAATCACTATGCTCCAGACAGAAAAACGAGAGGACAAGTAGGGTTCAGTAGAGCGATCAGTGATCCAGAGCCTCAGATAGACGTAACAACCAGGTTCTGTGACCGATGGGACAGAAAAACTATCCGGATGGTCAATTTGGAATTTGAGAAAAGCTAGCGGTTAGAATTTGGCTCAGAGGAATCGCTCATAAAATGTCTGAAGGTACTAGCAGAGCTATCAACTTGGTTTACTTAGCAAAGCAAGTGCAAGCTTTTGTGCATCGGTTCTTTAGTATTTGTGGGGTTATGTGAGATAGCGTAAGGAGGTGAGTGTGCTGTCGATTGGGTCAAGGAATACGGACAATATCGAAACGGGGACAATGGAGGTCAGTAAGGTGTCCCAAATTTGGTAAACGCGCAACTTTGAGATGGTGACCTCTCATGCAACCAACAGGAATGAGCGATAACAGGTGGTGGAACGCGCAATTAGAATCTGGTAAACAATGATAGGGTCACTGCGTAAACTTTGATATCGGTCACTGGAAACCCCCACAATTCTGTTTTAGGGTTCACTACTCTGGACGGTCCGATGTTGCGCTATCTCCAGAGCTTCTGTCACGGCTGCAAAGATTCAATTGCATGATTCATTTGTCGGTGTGCGTATACAGTGAGAGAAAGGGAGAAAAGTAACGAGAAGCACCAAATACTCCGCAAGAGACAAGTGTGTCAGGTTCCATGGGGACTCACTGCACTCAAGCTATGAAACTGCGGTCAGCTGATCAAACCAAAGCAAACAAGTCGAAATTCTAATCGCATCTTTGTTGAACGGGATTCGGTGAACCAACAATGTGGCAGTCAGTGTGCAACCATGTGGTACAGTGGGAAGTAAGACCTGATGAGGACATATCGATCAAAGCACCGCGGTAAAAAAATCCGATAAGAATGTCAAGCATTGTAGACGGCATGGCTGGAAAGTAGTCAATGCAGAGATCGTACCACTATGGTACGCAACTAGCTGCAATCAGTAAGTTAAAACCCAAAAACTAGCAAACTACCAGCGTCCTCCAAAAACGGAGACAGCAACCGCGTCAACAACGTCCTTATGGATCAAGATGATCGGTTGATTCGAAGAAGGCTGAAAACATTGTGAGCTCTTGTTGTTTGACAGACATCTGTACACTGGAGCACAATGAGTAGATGGGGAAAATAATAAAATTAATAAAATCAGAAGGAAGGAGTAAGTACAAAGCGCGAAAGAAGTAAAGGTATTCAACTGAGTGGTGAATGTTGCGTTCGAGAAAAACGCAATACGCAACTTGCACAAAGTCCGGTCACACCGATTGTGCCTGGAATATCACCTTGCTATTGGTTGTACACGGGAAGAGACATTAAGGTAGTAATCACTGGCCATGTAGAAGTGAACATTGCTAAGTTATGCCAAAGAATTCTCGCCTAAAACTAGGAATCCATGAACAATCGACCACATACAATAATAAGGTTGATAAGGTTGACCAAGGCTAGCGTACTCTGCGATGAGAAAAAGCTGCTAGTTCCCAAGCGATATTTTGTTACAGGAATGGAGCATTCAGATATACATTATGCAGTAGTTTGTCACTGCAAACCACTAACTGTGTCCATTTATTGACGGTTGTTTCAACGCCCATTGCTCACACTGTATACTAACAACCTATGAGCCACACTGCGAAAGCACCGGTGGTCGAACGTAACTAGCCACTTCATGTCGACTGATCTAAGGGGCCAGGTTTCACAACCGTAGAGTAGGGTCGAACGTACCGCTGCATCGTACACTCTACACTTCAGAGCAACAGTGATGTCGCGCCGGCGACATAGGTGGCGAAGGTTAGCAAAAGCGCCTCGAGCTTTTGCTATACGGTTCGTGATCTCATCTTCGATCCCAAGGGCACTGATACAACTACCCAGGTAGTTGAACATATGGACAACCTCTAGCTCATTCAATCCAACAGCCAGTGCAGGAGGCGACCCCTGCCAATCTTGAAAGAAAACACTGCAAATGGAAGGTGCAAAGCATAGCACGAAACGAGTGATAGCCAGGGCAAATCCATTCATTGCCACTTGGCATGTCTTGGAAATGTTAAAAATGAAGGTAATGCCGTCAGCAGACTACAAGTCAAAATGTCGTTCACCTGGGAGTAGCTCCACACCTTCTAAGTCGTGTCCGGTGAATACAATCTCTATGATTTCGTCAAAAGAGAAAGTGAAGAGGAAACGGGACAACGGACATCCTTGACTCACACCGCTGGGGATATTAAAGGGCGACGACAACTTCCGTAAGCCCTCACTCTGCCCGTGCTACGCGCATATGGCAGTCGCATAATATTTACATATTTCTCGACAACACCTTTCCTGAGTAGACAGTCCCAAAGGGAAAATCGAGCAAGCGAATCGAAGGCACCTTTGATATCGAGGAACACGAATACCGTGAGTCGCCAATATGTGACGGTGCTCCAACAATTGACGCAAAGTGAAGATGTGGTCGATGCAGACACGATCCCGACGAAACACGGCTTGCTCCTCACAAACCTGGCCACCTTGAGCGCCAGTCAGTCTGTGAAGGATTACAGAGGCAAGACATTTGGAGGCGATGGGGATCAGACTCATTCCTCTATGGTTGCTGCATTCCGAACGCGAGCCTCCTTTGAAGATCGGAACAATAAGGGAGCGGCTCCAGCCGATTGGGACAATTATCCTGCGCCCACAGTTTCACTAGCAATTCGTGTAAATCATCAACAAGAGCACGGCCCCTGATTTTGAAGTGGGCTGGATGAAGAGCATCTGGTCCCGCAGCTTTGTTCAACTTCAACAGTCCGATCTCATGTTCGACTTCTGAGCGAGAAGGCGGATCCACAGGGACAGCCCAACGAGAAGGGCGATCATTGGCCAGTGAGGAATCTAACAATTCCGGCCGATCAAATTGTTTTCAAAATGCTCAGCCTAACATTCTAAACTTTTGACAAGTTGTGGATAGACTGTCAACTCTCGTCACGGATGGTTTCACTAACACCATGTCTCCTGTTGCCCGTTTCCCGTATCAGAAAGAACAACTTTCCATGGTTACCACTTCCACCTCTGACGCATGAAGAGACCACCAGGATTCACGGTCTCTCTTCAGGCCAGTAGGGAGTTTTGCCCGGAGTTCTTTGCCAGTCTTATTGTGTTCGCTTCCAATCGGAGAGGCGGCCAAGCGATGACTTGGTCGAGAGCAATGAAGGCACTCACTTCGAAGCTGGTCTCGGTTGGAGCGTCTCGGCTCTATGATTGGGTCCGAAAGACGATGAACACGTTTGACTGGATACACTTGCTGATATGGCTAGGAGCCGGCCTCAATGGCCTCCGTGCTGTGAGTTTCCTTATCTCACCCCATCCCTCTTAGCCTCCCCCTACAACCACGATTTCACTATTTAGCCTTACATAATTTTGCATAGTAATTTTTTCCGGCTGCATAGTAGCCGGCTGGTAGCTTTCCGCAACAATGCCCATCCGTTAGTGGTAGCGCAGCTGGGTTGTACCTGTTGCATTTCCCCCCTTTCTTTCTGTTATGAATTGCCGCATAGTGGCTGACGTGTTTCCCACCTCTAGCTAACGTGTATAATAATGATGATGACGCTTCCAGTCGGAATGTGCCAGCGAGCATCAATAAGTTCCAGAGACCGCGACAACACACAATGTCCCTGTTAGCTATTAGACTTACCACATGATGATTGGCCTGCTGCTAGTAAGGTCAGGTGAACATGCGACCAGTGACCTTCAAATGTCGCCAGTGAGCGTCTACTCAACCCGCATGTCTGCGTACTTCGATACGCATTCAGAACAGATGGCTTCGCCAGTTGATTGGTGTCAATGCGCTCACAGCGTCGTCGTCGGCGTCCGCCAAAATACATCCACAAGTCAGCACATACAATTGCATGATCGGTGTCCACACATGTGCTCCAAGTCGAGCGACAGTTCTAGACCCGGTTTCTCCAGCGGTAACTGATTGCGATGTGATCGATTTGCATCCGTAGCTGGTGCAATACTGGTGAGCGCCAAGTCAATCTCCGGCCGGTGCTGTGTCGGAAGTCAGTGCTCGCAAGAAATAAGCGGGCATCTGCACACAAATGAAGTAACCGCTCACCGTTATCATTACAGTAGTCTACACATTGTTGGCCGCTCAGATGTAGTTCATCAGTGGACAATTTTCCAACTTGAGCGTTCAGATCCCCCGCCAGCACAACAGTGTACGAGCTTCCTCTGTGGCAAAGGACCTCGATCGCCAGGTGGGCGCGTAGACAGCCATGACCAATAGACACATATTAGTCCCGCGCGACGAGCAAGCCAATCGGACCGCACACATCCGGCTATTGATAGGGATCCAATCAACCAGAACAGCTTCAACCAGTGGACTCAGGACAATACCAACAACAGCTTGGCTAGTGCTCAAAGCTGCTTCATCACAGGATAGGCGCAATAAGAAAATAGTGCTGGTGTCACTCGAAGAGAATCGCAGTGTGAGCACAGAGCTCGAATTTTGCAGGCGAGTCTCCGATAAACAGCAGATATCGATGGAGAGAGTCTCTAATGTTCGGGCAAGTGTTGCTTGTTGACCGATCTGTAGCAATGTGCGTACACTGAGGTATGCCAATCTGAAGGAGGATCGAGGGCTCCAAACGGAAGCCGATGTAATGGGGTGGACCGCTTGGTTGGACATGCGCTTGTCGACAGGATAGGAGTGACGCTCCGCACTCAAGTGTGAGTTGAAAATAGAAAATGAATGCCTAGCAAAGCATGTTGGGGGAGGGGGGATAAAAGTGAAGTTGAAACGGGACGATCAGGGTGAAAAAGCGTGAGGGGGGATAAGAAGATGGGAAGGCTTGAGCAGTAGCATCCAAACCCCTATTCACGTAACTCGATGCAGAAGATAGGGCGCCGTTCACTATCCTCTGCGACGGTCAGAGTAGCAAGAAATTGTTTGAAGAGAAATGCATTGTATTGCATAGGCAGGATATTGTTAGGTTGCCCAGGCCTGGACAGGTGAAGGATTAGGGTTCTCAACCAAAAGCTTTGGTTCAAAAACCTGACCGCAAGGCAGCGGGTTTGGCATTGGGCTACAAGGAGTCCATTTGAAGGAATAAGGAGCCACCCACATTCCAACCCTCCCGCTGGAGGGGACTTATTTTGTGTGGCATCTACCCATTGACCAATCTGGTATGAGTGGCTCTGAAGGCGCAAAAAAGCACCATCTAGCATAGCTCAATAGATCTCTGAGGCACACAAACCATCGCAACAAGGTAAGTTCCAGCCTCATTGCGATGGAGGTCAATGGTTATGGAACCGAAGAAATTGGGACTAGCGTCCCGCTCGTCGGCAGTAGCAGAGGGGTCGTGGGCCCCTGCCTTCACAACTCAGGAACAGGAAGCGACAATTTATAGGCTATAATCTCAACTCGATTAGCGTAAGAACCAGCCATAGAGGTTATTTCTGGGTGATAGAGCATAACTCTTACTCAACGGTTTCGGGCCAGCAGTGCAGCAAGTTAGTTAGTTAAAAATAAAACACACCAAATATGGTACACCACTGGCAATCGTCGCAGATGCACCGCTGAATAGGAGCGAAAAGGTACATAGATTGTTCAGCAGCTTCCAAGCGTGAAGGTTAGAGATTCCTAACGGGTCGGACCAACTCCCATCTGCTTTTTGAATACGGATTTCGTGAAAGAGAATGAAAACAACTACAGATATATGCAAGCTAAACCAGGAAATGTGAGTAGATCGGAAAAAGAAACCGCTCACGCATGCTGGAATGATAGTCAGGCAGTCAATTCACTTGATGGGTCTGATGGTACGGTCGTCAAAAATTTAGGCTACTATTGGATGGTCAGTAGTACACTTACAGATGATGAATTTGCGTAAACAGTTGATCTAGTTTCAGGAACTGATCTCATCACGTAGATATAGGAAATATCGAAATCGGGACCATTGGGGCGTTGATCTGGATCTCTACAACTTTAGCCAGCGGGTCACGAGGGACAACGCTTGGCACAACAGTTAATGACTGATTGGGGGTCATTTTGAAGTAAATGTTGTGTACGAATGGATTTCAACGCGCAATCTAAGTGAACAGCGATTCGCATTGGGTTGGACCTTGGTCATTTTGATTACTCGAGCCATAACTGAAGCAGTTGGATAGATTTGGTGTTACTCGCCCGAAAACACTGCGTTCCACCGCCGGTTTCGAAGAGTCAGCGAACAAGCTCGTGGATCTCGTCAGGCTGGTACACCACAACCATAGTATCGCTACAGCCCGATCAGCCTTTTGAGACGGCGTCGCAATATTTCGCTCTCGCTAAACGTTATAGTTTCCAATGTCTGTGTTCGCACGAAACTGTTGTACAGAAGCAAATGTTGGCCGATCCGTGTAGGTGACATGAATACGGTCCCGAGCTTTGGTGCAGCCGTCTGCCGAAATTAGGTCGTGTACGGTAGCGTGCGTAATGACGATGTCAAACATCGCATCCTGGGCAATGCAAAGCTTCCTTGTTCTGCTGAGCTCATTGTGATGGATTAGCCAAGCCCTGCGTATGCCTAGGAGGTGTGTACCAAGCTGTGCACGGTTTGATCAGTTTGAGCACGCAGGGGTGCAACAGATAAGGCTACGTAAATGTCAGTCAACCACTTGGCGAAAGTAAATGCAACCGCTGTTGAGAGCTAAACAATGAAGAATGTTAGTGGTATGAGATAATCGAAGCAATCACTGAAAACCGGCAACAGTAGAAACAATGCGCGCAAATTTGGGTGAAATTCAAAAGTATTAACTAATAAAAGTTGTTCGAAAAGCTGAAATAAGGATACAGTATCGTTTTTCCTCATTTTCCTTATGGAATATTATTCCTACAGATTTTATACATGATTTCCTGAATAACAATCGCATAGCTGCGTAATGCCTACAGAACCAGCATAGGTGGCTTGCGCTGCAGAACCCACAGCTCCATCCACACAACCTATATCAAGTGTAAACCCCAAGAAATAAGACCGGAAGGCATGTGGATGGAAGCCACGTTTCATCACCGGAGCCGGCCCACACTCCTTTAACATGCACAGCAGCGGCATTCCTGTCTATCTATGTAGGGAATCGTGCGTAGCAGACGTACACAAGACGGTGGCTGGGCCGTAGTCCGCTCCACACTGGATGGAACCACTCTTTGAGCCTAGCACGGCCGCGAGGAAGGTGCACCCATCCCCACAGCAACGATTCACAGTCTGCTGGAACCAGCAATCGTGGTGGAGGGTGTTAGACAGTTAGGCACCTTGTCAACATCCACACCGGGGATATAAAACAACGGACATAGAAGTTGATGAAAAATAAATACGCAAAATTGACATGGAATATACAGTAAAATAACAGAACTGAGCCAATCAAAGTAAGAGGAATACTTTTTATCCACGTTAAGGTTTAGTTCAAGTGTAATTCGGTATAGTACGACTGAGGAGAAGAGGCGTGATGTTCGAAATATGTATAGCAATAAGATAATAGCCACATTGAGAGTTTACGTATCAGGCAAGCGCTGAACAAGTACAAAGAAACAGTTAGGATGCAAGGAAACGAGATCCCCGGCCGAATCGTGTCCATAATATCGCAGCCACAACAAACCAAATAAGGGCGAAAGCAGTTACCGAGTGAAATAGTGAAAGGGACAAAAACCGAAAATGTACTCTACGAAAAATGAGTTCCCGGACATTTAAATCATTTAAACTCATACCAAAGCAAATGGAGACCCAAACTGGCAATTTAACCTGAACACACAAGGGAGGAACTTCAACCGAAGCCAGCATAAATACTAGCATATGCCTAGTGTCTTCTTGCTTGTCTCAGAATCGTTTGCGTCTAAGTGCTCGCTACTTAGTAGAGAATGAGTGATCGAAGTGAAACCCAGCATGGATGCTAAACAGTGCAGAAAAAGAACCAAGTAGGTGAGCAAAAGACGTAGTCACTGATGAATGATCCTGCAGTCGACGACATTCTAGTTGTTAAATCGCTGCGGCAGGACTCAGCGTAGCAATCATCGACATCAAACGGGCCCGCAAAAGTCTAGAAAAAAATATACGCAGGTAACCAAGGAGCGTACAGTCAGATAATTGATCGGGTGCCGTTAAACGCTTGTGACTGACAAAAAGAAAACCTTTGAATTTTATCGGTAAAAAAATCAGATGAGAAGGAGAAAACGAACCGACCTCAAAATCGGCCGATAGATTATAATTTGGTAAAGTACCGACTCCAAGCTGAAGCTCGGGATCCTTCGAAGAAGGAGCGGCGTTAGAAGGCATCCCAGGGGGCATAAGAATCCTTTTAACGCTTCCGCCAACTTGAAATTCACCGAAATCATCTTCGTGTGGCGCAGTAGGACACTGTTCATCCTCCATCAGGCTACCCAGGGGTGCAAAAAGCGACGTCATTAGATAGAAATATAGGGTCGTTTTAAAAGACTAAAAAAGCGATTAGTTGGATACGAAGAAACAGTTAACAAATGTAAAACAGAATGAGACAGAAAAGTGGGTAGTGAGGAACTCACTTCGACTCCAGTTGGAATTTTACTGGAGAAACAACGGTAGCTGATGGCGCAGGCCAAGATGGCAACCCAAAACCCTTTAAAAAAATGAAAGTAGAGAAAATGATGGCTATGAAACGTATATATAGATATATATATATATATATATATATATATATATATATATATAATGCATATCTAACGAAAGCACTTCTACTGCCTCTTGGACAACCGTTCAGAGATTGAGTGGGCTGCAAAATACGAAGCTGTCTTCCCGACACCCTGACACTGTATGACATGTAGAATACACTTACTCAGCTGCGAAAAAGCAAGTGCGCTGAATGCGATAGGATACGGCCAGAATTGTTGAAACACGGTGGATCTGCGTTCATACATGCGCTACACCAACAGATTCGTCACATGCTTCCTTAACAGATATACCAGAATCGGGAACGAAGTACCAACCGAAATAGTTGTCCGTGATTCAGAGCACGAATTAAGCAAAAGTGCCAACAAATAGTTAACCATCCAAAATGTGAGCAAGTTACCGCGATGTCACATAACAAATGAGCAAGCATATGAACAAGGTCGAAAACTTGTATGATCCAAAAATCTGTCTACAGCACAAAGTGAATGCTGAAGTGGAACAGCGTTTACATTTACCAATTTCACCTTCTGTTCGTCACTTATTCGGCATGTCAACCCTAAGGTTACCACCAATAAGTGTGTGATGAGGGATGAAGACAACTGAACACCCCTCTACATTCTCAGTCTCGATCTTTAGTGCTCAATTACGCGCATTGCAGTCTACTCATACATGTTCCTTTCCTATGCGACCCTCTAGCTCCAGTCGCATACGACTGCCACAACTAACAACTGATATTCTTGAGTAGAATTAACCGTCACGCGTTACAAAAAAATTTAGACATAAATACTATAACTAATACTTATTCCAAGTTATTTTCATATTACCCAAAAATATTCCTTTAAGAGTTTCATATCCCGAGAAATACATCCTTTGTAGTATCAGATAACACCCTGAGACAACAAGCAACAATTATGCCTTGTCAATATTGTTATACATCTCCTGATCATTCGTCGTCGTTGCACTAAGAAATGCTTTTGATTACTTGAAAATTTTCTAGTGAAACGAATAGGAATAATCGAAAAATGTACAATGTTGCCGTAAGTCGGCCGGTGGCCGGAAGGGTCACACATATGACTTTCAACCCGGATGTCAGCAGTTCGAACCTGCGTTGGGCGACCCTTGCAGGACTACTGGTGGTTCTATTCATTTATGGGGATCGTAAAGAAGCCAGCTCTATGCTGCACCAACAATCGCGCAGCCGGTAGTGAGTCAAATAACGCGCTGGATACAATGGAATGGGTAAGCCCAAGCGTGTTGTCACTGTCGTCTCTTTTCTTTTACCAAGTGCTTTTTTACACTTTCCAGCCTTCACTTTACCCTAAGAAAAATAGTGATTTCGACCCAATCCCAATTCTCCACCCATGCACTTATTTGCCCAATTGCTAGTCACCAATAAGCCATACAAAAGTGATCACTGGCACCGAGTGTGGCGTTCAGTATTACGTCGTCAATTAGACGTGGCTCGTTAGTAACAGCAAGTCGAGTTTCGACGGGTTTTGCCTGTCACGCCACCGAGTGAACCGCTGTACGTGTTCGGTTAGGCCGTGTTCTAAAACATTGGCAAGAAACCAAAAGTCGTGCTGGCCGTGAACCTGGCCAGAGGCAAGGTCGATCTCCAGGAAACTGAAGTGCCCAGTGACGAGTAGAGGGGAACTTAAATTAGAAGCATTTGCTCGAAGGGCTGAATTCCAACGTCAGAGCCATTCTGGAGGAGCAAAGGGCGCGTGATAGACCATTCCAAGAGTGAGAACAGTAGCACGGGAACCGCGGAGACAAATCCAGTGGGATTCAGGAAGAGACAGCAGTTCCGGAGCTTTGAGAGGGACGCATGTGAGGCAGTCGGATACATACACAGCTACGCCTCCGCCCCTGCCGCTTTCACCGTCGTTTCGAAGCAGCACGTATCCTGGGATAGCTACTTCGGCGTCAACATCTGGACAGATCCAAGTTTCGGTTATACATATGATTTTAGCTTGCATATCAAACATAAGTGCAACGATTTCTGGCACCTTGTTCCGCAGTGATAGAGCCTTAGTGTACAATCAACTCCATGTGTTAACATGAACTGCCGGCGACCAGTGGTAACACGGTGCAGTAGGTAGGGCAGTTTGGGTTTGATTTACGCAAACTCCCCCATGGTCGGCGATCGTTTGCTTTTTGATAAATCCTCAAGTCATGTAATAGTTAGTAATGGGGTGCTTTGGCTAGATGGCGTGGAACTATGTCTCTGAATTTTCTTGCGCAACTCACGCGGTTTGTCCGATTGTATATTGACTTCGTAGGAGTTGCCGTAAAGCTCGTACCACCGTTGGGGTACAGTCTGGGGAATGATAACGGAACACAGTTTACTTCAGCGGCATTCAAGGAGTTCTGCAAATGCTGTCATCACACACGTCCGATCGCCACCACTCTACCTGCTATAGAAAAGCCAAGCGGAGAAGTTTGTAGATACATTTAAACGCGCTCTTCTCAAATAAAGAAGAGAGGGCCGTATAGAGGTGATTGAGCGGTTCCTTTTTCTGTACCCAACAACAAGGAATCCACAAGCGCCAGTGTTTAACCATCACATGCAAAGAGGAACAGAAAGCTGCGTATGCCCGTCGACGCTGTTTGACCGCACTCAGATCGTTTCAGTGGAAAAAGGAAATGCAAGATAGAACAGGACTTTAACCGGCAGTATGAAGCGAAGCAATGATCAATCAGACCGGTGCAGGTAGTAGCAGTACGTGGCTATCGGGAGAGCCACGCACAATCGATACATGGCACGATCAAAAGCAGGGACGGGAATGTCATTTATAACGTTCTCGTGGGGATAAAGATCTGGGTCCAACACGCAAAGCATCAACGATCAATGTTGTGCCAACCAGAGGAGTCAAAGCCTGTCGTTCTCCCATTTGACTTGTTGGTACAGAGCATCAAATTGCCGTGGACGATTGCTGTCAGTCGAGCAAAGAACACGAACCACAAACCTCAGGACTCGTTTATTGAGCACTTCACACAAGGCGATGGACTGACGTACAGTACACAGTCCAGAAGGCCACAAGTCAATCCAATGCTCTCATCATTCACCGCGGCCGCCATCCCTGGAGATGAGTCTGGAAGAAAGCAACATTTCCTCGGAAAACCATTATTTCAACAATAATTCGTTTGTTGCCGATTATTGCTTTGATATTGAACATGCCAGCATGTTCAAAACTGCACGTAACGGCACAACCTCTGGAAGATGGGCTGGACCGGAAGAACACAGCTAATTTTACAAGCTGACCGCCCTTTTCTAAAAGTTGTAGGTCATGGAATGACCTTTAAGTATGGTCAAGGTTAACGCCCAACGTAGTTTTTTTGGGGGGGGGGTTAACCGGTCAGTTTGTTTAGATCGTTTGGTTACTGATTTTCGCCTCGGTCAGGCTAAACGTCTGGAGGAGCAGTTTAGTGTTTTTGTTCGCAGTCAGCCCATGAAGTTAAGAATCACACGCCGGTGGACTGGCATGCGTAACACGTGGCCAAGCCATCGGAGCCTGGTGTGGGAAATGATGGTGCTGCAAAGTTCAGTTCCTTTTCCTGTGCCACAAACAAGACATCGAGCACGCCCGTTGCTCACGCGGAGTTCCCACCAGATGTGAACAAAACTGCGAAGGCACCGGTGGTCGAACGTAACTAGCCACTTCATGTCGACTGATCTAAGGGGCCAGGTTTCACAACCGTAGTAGGGTCGAATGTACCGCTGCATCGTACACTCTACACTTCAGAGCGACAGTGATGTCGCGCCGGCGACATAGGTGGCGAAGGTTAGCAAAAGCGCCTCGAGCTTTTGCTATACAGTTCGTGATCTCATATTCGATCCCAAGGGCGTGATACAACTACCCAGGTAGTTGAACCTTTGCACCACTTCTAGCTGATTCACAATAACGGTCAGCGCCGGAGGCGATCCCTGCCAATCTTGAAGGAAAAGATTGCACCTCGAGGGAGCAAAGCAAAGCCGGAAGCGGCTGATAGCCCGTGCTAATCTGTCCAGTACAGCTTCGCACGTCTGGGAGCTGTTACAGATGGGGGCCATGTCGTCAGCAGACTACAAGTCAAAATGTCGTTCACCTGGGAGTAGCTCCACACCTTCTAAGTCGTGTCCTGTGAATACAATCTCTATGATTTCGTCAAAAGAGAAATTGAAGAGGAAACGGGACAACGGACATCCTTGACTCACACCGATGGAGATATTGAAGAGCGGCGTAAGCCGTAAGCCCTCACTCTGCTCGTGCTACGCGCATATGGCAGTCGCATAATATTTACATATTTTTCGGGCACACGTTTCCTGAGTAGACAGTCCCAAAGGGCACATCGATCAACCGAATCGAAGGCACCTTGGATGTCGAGGAACACGACTACGGTGGGCCGCCAACATGTGTGACAGTGCTCCAACAATTGACGCAAAGTGAAGATGTGGTCGATGCAGACACGACCCCGACGAAACCCGGCTTGCTCCTCACGAACCTGGCTTTCATGAGCGCCAGTCAGTCTGTGAAGGATTACAGAGGCAAGACATTTGGAGGCGATGGGGATCAGACTGATTCCTCTATGGTTGCCGCATTCCGAACGCGAGCCTCCTTTGAAGATCGGAACAATAACGGAGCGGCTCCAGTCGGTTGGGACAATTATCCCGCTTCCACAGTTTCACTAGCAATTCGTGTAAATCATCAACCAGAGCAGGGCCCCCGAATTTGAAGAGCACTGGATCATCTGGTCCCGCAGCTTTGTTCAACTTCAACAGTCCGATCTCATGTTCGACTTCTGAGCGAGAAGGCGGATCCACAGGGACAGCCCAACGAGCAAGGCGATCATTCGCCGGTGAGGAATCTAACAATTCCGGCCGATTAAATTGCTTTTCAAAATGCTCAGCCCAACGCTTCAAACGTGTTGACAAGTTGTGGATAGACTGTCAACTCTCGTCACGGATGG